TGTGTGTGTGTGTGTGTGTGTGTGTGTGTGTGTGTGTGTTAAAGGCATAAAACGCTGGGTGTGTGTTGAAGTGTTGAGATTTTTTTTGAGCGATCTTTGTCTCCCTCTAGCTGTCAAAGAAGCAGGAGTTCCGCAGTGACACTAACTTGTCGGAGCCAAATGAAGGAAATGTGTTGCTGACCAGTGCCAACTCCAAGTCTCTGCCAACCATCACAGGTGACACACACAAACACACAAACACACACATGAGGAAGGGCGTCGCCATCCAGTTGTCCTGCTGACAGGGATTCTGATTAACATTACAGACATCGAAGGCCCGYATGAGCTTATATATATATATATCATGTGTGTATTTTTGGTTTCTGTGACTTTCCTTGTCATTATACCAGTAGCATGACCTTGCTCCTGTAGTGGTGCAGCAAACCACAATTCCCTGATGCTTTGCTGGCGTTCTGCCACAATCAGACAAGCTGAGCCAGCACAAGCTGTGGTGTTAATACACTAACTCCGATTAGTACTGCTGGCTTCGACTGATCTAACACACATCTGCAGCAGCGCTGCCAGAGCAGATAATCAGCAGTAGACCAGCTGCGAGAGAACCATGAGTCAGTGTTTGGCTTCAGAACGAGGCTGGAGAGTGAGTGTAAGATAACGAATGAGTCAGTTCTGCTTTTGTTTTCTGTCTGCAGGTCTGACCCTGTCAGTGGTTGGTGGGGGAGAAGAGGTGGACTCACCCAGAGCTAGGAGGGACAGTAAGAGCATGTCTCTGTGTGGGACCTCTGACCGAACAGCAGACAGACGCTCTAAGGGTGTCATCAACCTGCTTTTCAAGTCCAAGGTACTAAAATAAGCCTCAATGTAGTGTGTGGTCCTTAATATAAAAAAAAATACTACACTTAAAATATTTTAAGGTTTTTATAATCTTATAGTCAGGAAATGATTTATTTAAAAATGTAAAAATCCACCCCACAGCAGCTCTAACCCTCAGTAACAAACACTTCCTGCTGTAAATGGGTTTAACTTACCTCATTTATACTGTAGGTTTAGTAGATGGTGACTTGTTTCATAATGATGTAGGAGATAATATTCTTTTCACTTTTTTTGTTTTATAAAAGGATGCCAATACACAGGCATTATAGCATTCTTCTGATGTTCCAGATACATTTTTTTTTATCCTGCCACACAGCTTTAAAACAGAACAAGCAAATTAAATACCTGAATTTGCAGCTTGGCTGACAATAGCGTGCACCATGCAGAAAAAAGATGAATGTGATTTTGGYGAAACAATAACCTCACCCATTTTGGAGCTCCAGGGAGAAGCAATAGTCAAAGTATTTTAATTTTTAATTATTCTTTTCACACATTGTTTGTTTGAGGCTTAGAGTTTAAATTGGAAGTCACATTTATAAGAAATTAAAAAAAATATTTCATTAATAGTAATTGTTCATACTGATTTAACAACATTTTTTCTAAATGCATGTTTGTTTTTTAGCAGAGCTCCAAAACAGAAGAKGTGAAGCAAAGCGACACAGCCAAAGAAAGTGACAATCATTTCTAAAGTTTCTTATTTTATTTTCACCTTTCCTTCACTCATTGTTTGCATTTTTTATAAAGTTTTAAACTTGTTACCGGAAACCAAAGCAATATGTACTCCCTCCCCGCCTGCCTGTCAGTCTCAGTATCTCTGTTGCCTTAATGCAATAGATTTTTCCTGTCAATAAAGGCTATTTTCGTTGAGTGACCTTTTTTTCCTGTTAATTTGAATCGTTCCCACAGAAGCTAAATGCCACCTTACAGCTTTTCAATCAATTCTTCTACTAGAACGAGCAAACACAAGCTACCCCCCACCCCCCAGTGCACTAGATTGAAAAGCTTCTTAATATACGATTTTTAGCGCTTGTTGTGATTGACGTTAATGAGAAAATAAGAATTCAGTAAAGCGAAAAGGTTACCTTGTCCTCCCTTAGGACTGCCAACACAACAGCCAGCCAAAAAGTTCTGGCACTGATTTGACAAACAAGAATGTAATGAGATTAAACGAGGCTGGAGGGGCGGGTTTTGAGTGGCTCATAAAACTTTCATGTCCAGGATGTCCGTAAAGTTGATCAAGATACTGAGATATTTGTTTTACTTACAAACACAAACAGTGTTTGGAGCCTGAACTCAGGTCATTAAAAAAAGCCTTGAATTTGTCTTCATTTCCTGGAAGTGAAGCAGTAAAATATCTCATAAACTACTCAGTAGATGTTAATGAAACTCTCAGAGAGTGATTTTTTTGCTGAACATTTGCACTGTGTTAGCTTTTGAAGTTAACACTAATTAAAATGGCCACCACAGCTAGAAAATCTTACCAAACACAAAAATGACTTTTTAAATAGATTTTAAACTAATATATGTTGCAGAAGTAGTTGAGAGCCACTCCTACCACATACTCTGAGCACAAACTGTTCACACGAGATATGTTGTTAAAACTCCAACATTATTTAGTAACTAACAACTACAACTTGATGAAAATAAATCATGTTAGTCTAATCGAAACATTAAAGTTCCCGTGACATATATTCAAAGTACAAAAGAGTCAAAGAAAACATATTTATGTTAAAAAACTTGGCATAATACACAATTTCAATCATTTTGTCACATATTATCTTTTATATTTGGCTTAGCCAAAATGAAACAGGAAGTGACATCAAAGGGGAACTCTCTGGTCTTTGTTTATTGATATCTTATATGAACTGTGACTCTTCTTCATCTCTCTTATTGTGACTCAAAATAATCTAAAGAAATATCAGATTATTTCTCAACAGTCTGTGTTGTYGGCCATTGTAGCAATTTTATGTTTACATGTTGTCATTCCCCTTTGACATCACTTCCTGTTACTTCACATGGAAATATCTCAACTGTTTATCTCAGCAGCATTTTTTTTGCAATATGTTATCAATGTTATCTTGTCTAAAAGGCATTCATATTTCCTCAAAAAATATTTCAAAGGCATTTTAATACTTCGACTGCAACAACAGGACCACGTTTTGATCCAYTGGACGGAATTTAGGGAAACTACGTAATGATTGCATCGAAAACTCATAAAAACATTTCCACACCTTTTTAAAATAATCACCCAAGTCATTTTTTTTCAACTTTGTCAGGAATTTCAAAAAATGTCATTTGGTGAACTTTTTTTGGTGGGAAAATATTATTTTAGGGTTATATTTAGTTGGAGTTAATTTGATTCAAAATAACTGCAACAGCTAATCGATCAGCAAAAAGAATAGTTCAGTCTACAAGGTTTGAGCAAAACGGTTTGAGCAAAAAGGCTGCAACTCTGGCTCATCTCAGCACAAAGGATCTTAGTTTAAAACTCATGTGCATTTCTTTATGGAATGTTTTCAATTTGAGTTATTTTTCTGTAAAATAAAAGAAGGAGCCAACATGGCAGCAAATTTCATGTCTCACTGTTGAAGATTGTTACAGAGGTGTCAGTTTCCTAATATGATTCTCCAGGGTTTTGCTTTGTTTTCAGTTACAGAGCTTCAGCCTCTGCTTTATAGGACGTTCTTTAAATTTTGAATTGCATGTTCGTGTTGCTGGAGCCTAGTCCAGTTATCCCCCAAAGAACTGGTTATCTGAGTACGAGGGAATAAAAAAAATAGAAAGAACAAGCTCAGGATAAGGCCAGCCACCTGGGATGGTGTTGATGCACTATTCCAGGTCTGAACAGGGGTCACAGAAAAAAAAACTGAAAGAGTGCGTAGATGGATTTCTGTTTTATTTTTTTTATCCTTACGAAGAGAACAGAAAMGGAAAAAGAATTCAATGAGGGACGTTGCTGCCCTCAGGTCTGTTGTGGAGCTTAAAGTCAGTGATTTGTGTCACCAGTGGGTCCACCTGGGCTTATTCTAAATCCKCACAGATAAACCACTCAAAGTCCTGACAGATAGTGAGTAAACGAGGTGTCTTATATTTTACCTTCTTCATTGAATTTAGTGGCATTTTAATAAAGACTTTCAGATCGGTTGATAAAAAGGCAGATGAGCAGCAGCATTTGGTGAATATAAATGAGGTAGACTGGTTTGTCAAAAACCTGCACCTTCAAAATGGCTAAAGTAATAAAATTTAAAATCAGTCAGCTGAAGACACAGGGACAATAATGGTTTTAGTTAGATTAAAACCCTTGCATGAGAAGTAAGGAGCAATATATGCTGGGTCTTTAATTTTTAATGGTTCATAGATGAATACGTAAATTTTATCCTCTGGAGGTTTGATTTCATTGTTTTTCTCTGAGCTCTCCATCGCAGACATACCAATAAAAGGTGATTAAGTCAAAGTCTGCCTCCCCTTCCACCCTGACCACAAACGTCCCCTCCATTCCAGACAATTTAAAGTCACAGACTCGCCATTTAAAACTCATGCAACGCCCTGCCCTGTGGCCCTCAGTGTGGAACAGAGTTACTGATTAAAGGTTGCAGCACTCAGTGATTTCATTTCCTCAGAAATCCAACTTACAAAAAAAAGGTTGAGTTAGTTAGATAGTCCGCTGTAAATCCTCACAGGAAATGATGCTGCATCATTGCTCGACTGACCAAAAGATTTATTACCAAAAGGACTGAATTGGAAAGAGTRTAAATTTGACGAAAACTCTGTTTTAGAGGAGCAAAGTGAACAGATTTCCTTAAAAAAAACCTTCATAGACCTTAATACTCTGTAAACATTGGTTCTCTGAGGACATAATGATGCATCAGTAGGTTTTGGTTTTTCAAAAGATATCATGTTTAAAGGCAAAACCCTTCTCTGTGGCTGATTTGGTTCCTGAGAGGGAAAAATCTTCTAAAACTTGCCCCCAATGTTCAAAGTTTTTATGAAACATTTTATTTGTTACAATTAATTTCAGATTACATAAACTGATTTGATTTGATAATATCCAACAAAGCTCTAATACAAGAAGTAGATTTACAGCAAGCTTTGCAAAAAAAAAAAAGAGATTCAGCTTCATACATTTCTCCTAATGACTGAAAACTCTGGAATGGAAAAGATAAAATAATTGTGCACTCCCGTGAATCTCAGAGCTGTTCTCATAAATCTTTGCCACTAGAGGGCAGTGCTTTAACATTATGTGTTTTGACAATTTAAGCAGATCACCTGCTAGTTTTATTGCTAGATAAAGAATGCCAAGAAAACCAAAACAAGTTGAATAATTAAAACTCTGTATGTTTGTTTTCCTTGTTCATAACAAGAGTTTGCAACTATTCACTTTACCATTTGATAAAGAGATGAAGGTTGGACGTGTCTTTGGGAGTGCAGAGAGGGACGGTGGGGCTTGGAAGTAAGAATGGGGCGGTAGGTTAAGAACCACTGCTCTATCCCAACTATATAACTTTCTATATTATCTAGGGTTCGGTTTCAGGGCGGCCTCCCATTATCAGCTGTAGAAGGAGGTTGGTGTCTCGCACTTGGGTCGACAAGTTCTTCGTGTTCTTTCTCAACTTCTCTAATATTTCTTGTGAACAACTTCCCTATCCTATATCACACAGTTACAAAGCAGAAAACCAGACTAATGAACCATGACTTTGGTTTGACCTCTTAACATTTCTAACATTTATTCAGAAAAAAAGGAGTATTTCTGTACAAGAACACCACACACACACACACACACACACACACACACACACACACACACACACNCACACACACACACACACACACACACACACACACCTACAAACTTTGGGTAAATAACAGTAAACATGTTTTTTTCCCCCGGGCAGAGAGGTTGAGTGTTTGCTCTGAGAGGATGAGCTCTCCCAGTGGGGCTGAAGACTTCAGTTCTCCTCACTTCTCCCTGTGATTCCAAACACAAAACAGCATCAGTATCACTCCTCCACACAGGAAACACCGTTTCCTACTTCTCAAGCCTTAACCTCCACCATGAAAGATATTGGACAGCAGATCTGTCCTGCTGACTGGTGAACTCTGTGCTGACACAATCCTGAAAGATAAAAACAATATTAGGCTATATATGCTGCTTCAAGTTTCCAGCTCTGCTTTTATGTAAGGACAAGAACAAAAGGATGAGCTCTGCTTATCWTTTTTTTTTTAAATGGAATGTTTTGCAGCTTTAGTTTAAGAAATATAGAGAGAACACAAAGCCAAAGTAGTTTGCTGCTCCAGCAGATTCTTTGCTCAGCCGTGGTTTAAAGTACTCCTCTTTTGTTCAGAGCCAAGGTTTCAAAATCATCCTCACAGTGTTTGTGTACATTTAAAGAAGAGGGTTTGTGGCATCATTTTGCTGACCTTGGTGATTGTTTACAGACCAGAAACAGTTTTTTTTGTGAAGTGAACCTTGCAACCGACTCCTGTTAACCTCTGCTATTTTATCCTCCCATAAATCATCTAGATTGTGGTTTGTTTCTTGATAAATGGAGAGGTTAACTACATTTGTTGACCCAAAATATCTGAGTCAGATGGCATGGTCTCTCAAGAGATTCTTTTTAAACTAAAGTTCAGATTTTTTAAAATGGAGTTCTGTGGAAAGGTTATGATAATTTGTCTTACCTGTTATATAAAGCTCATAAGGACCTTCGTTTAGAGAAATAAAGTTGAAATTTGAGCAGAATCACAGATAGAGCAAAGATCATATAAGATTGCTGTTTAAAATAGTAAGAAAAAATATATAAAGTCACAAGTAAATGAGTTCTTTTAATGTAAATTTTACATTGTGTGTATATTGCAAACGTGGGACCCTCA